AATATCTTATCAACTAAACTTAGCTAATGTCGGAGCTACTTATATATACAAGTTATTATGTGCTAGAATATTCTGGAATGGTCCACCTCTATTCTTCTCGTTGAAAGCGCATCGAAGACGGGCGCTATTGAAGTGCCAACACTTGAATATTCTAGATTTATCCTTCTAAGAATTGTGACACGTACTACGCATCGGAGATGGGCTATTTTTTACAATACTACTACTCTCCCAAAGTAGTCTGTAATATATTAGAGACTACATTGGGAGAGGTGTATCATAACAAAATATGATATGATTATATCAAACAAGAAATATAAAAATATAAGTAAATAACATCATATTGAAAGACTAACCTATTTTACACGATTCCTCTAGATAATAAAAATATAAAATCATTAAAATGTGTTTCCATATAATCATCTCCTATGGGAAATATAATATCCTACTTTTATGATATACAATTAAGGAATATCCTTTTTTATCAATCGACAATGCAGATATAAAGCAGGACCATATCTATTATAATGTTAAAATTAATTAAAGAGGTTTCTTTAATGTGTGGTGGAACATGTTTTTGAGATTGCCTAAACAGCATATATTTCAGATTTATGAATATTATTATAAAGCATGTGTTTATTAAATCGAAACGCATTAAAATCTTTATAATTTCAATTTTAAACATTTTAAATGTATAGGTTATTTATACCTATATAAATATTACCTTATTTTCGTTAAATCTTCAAAAATTGATAAGTGTGGATATTATATTTCCGAACAGACTGTACCATGCTTAACACAACCAAATGTTGCTAAAAGTTTAGTCATAGATATCATTGATCATTTAAGTAAAGTATATGTTCTTTTTAATATGGTAATTTGCACATGCCACAACTTAGCAGTAATTCACTTTTTTCTTCTTCTTTTTCTCATTCTTCTTCTAGTTTCATAACCTTTACCGATCGTTGGATATTATAGTGACTATCATATTCGCTATCGTGACTGTGTTGACAACAGCTCTAAATAATGATGTAGTCGATTGTCTGTACCATTGTCTTAGATGGTTCTATATAATGTTATTCTTCTACCAGGACCATATTTACCTTGGATCTTTCCCTGATAGATGATATGCAAAAGTAAATATTTTTCAGGATGTCTCATAATGTGACCGAAATAGTCCAACTTGCGGCTCTTTATTATATTGACAAATTGTGTTGTTTGTTTAAACATGGCCTCACTTATTCCACTCTCACTCCATATAGTAGCACTGGAAAGATGTAGTGTGTCACTCGAATTCGAAGGTCAATATCAATATTATTGCTGTAAAGTACGCTTCTCATTTTTACAAATGATCCAAGGATCCAGATAAAAAAATGAAGATATTGAGCAAGTGGACAAAATGAAATACTTAGGAGTCTGAATTACGGAAGATCTAAATCCGAAATCAGAAATTCGCTCAAGAATAGAGCAATCAGGAGCAGTATTTTTGAAGATGAGGAAATTTCTGAGTAACCAAAGACTCCATCTGCAAATCCGATATCGGATGGTAAAATGTTATATCTACTCTATTCTTCTTTATGGTGTCGAAGCCTGGACCGTTAATGTTGATTTAATGAGAAAACTGGAAGTTTTTAAGATGTGTCTTTTTAGTACAATTTTGAAGATACCAGCCGAATATCCATTGATAGCCGATCGGTCCATCATATTACGAACGAAATGGCGTTGCACAGAATGGGAAGAGACATAGTTTGACCACAATTAAAAGGTAAAAGACAGCATATTTGGGGCACATACTTAGAAATGATAAATACGAGTTGTTGCAGCTGATTATGAAGGGTAAAATCGAAGGAAAAAGGGGTCCTGGTAGACGACAAATATCCTGGCTGAAAAACATTCGCGATTGGACCAGGTTAAACACACAGACGCTCTTAAGAAAAGCAGAAGATAGAGACGAATTTGCAATGGTTATAGCCAACCTTCATTAGTGGAGACCGCACTAGAAGAAGACAAATGTAGCTCGGGCTTGTCCTATTCGGCTTTTAATTTTTTCGGTTGGATCCCAGCTCTCATTGATATTACTGCCGAGATACACAACTTTGTCCAGTACGGCATCCCCAAAATTTATACCGTTGTCCTGCATTGTAATTTCGTTTGCTAACTATCATATAGTAAGTTTTCTTAACGTTGTGTTTTAATCTATACCGATCACAACACATTATTAGCCAGCACTAAGGTATCATCGGCATATCTAATATTATTCACGGTTATACCATTCACAATAATACCTTCTTTGTCTCCAAATATTTAAAGGCGAGAGGATACAGTCTTGTCTCACTCCTCTTTTTATATTTATTTCCTCCGACAGTTCTTGTTGAACTTTTATCCTTGCTACTTAATGCCAGCCTTGTCAAAAACGTTTTCAAAATCAGTTGCGCTGATATATTCATCATCATTCAGTGATTCACTACCATTCGTAAAATGGAATGGAAATATTCGAATACCTGGAAAATAAAATGCCAAAGTCAAAAAGTATAAAATTACGGTTCTTCATCATCATTCTGGCTTTACAACAATGCGTGGGTCCTAGCCTCCTCAAGAATTTCTCTCCAGTCATCCCTATCCCTAAATGACACCAAAAGTGAAAAGATTAGCAAAGATACAAGGGCTCTCATGGAAATACGACGAAACCTAAGCGAGAACGAAAAGGGAAACAAAGAAGAATAAAAAAACTAAATAAAAGAATTTCAGCGGAAATTAGAAAAGATGTAAGAAGATATAATACTAATGTAATTACTCAAACAGTAGAAGAGAACAAAGGTTTAAAGATAATGAAAAGAAAACTTACGCAAAGTAAAAAAGAAATATACAAGCTGAGAGATAAAGACGGAAAGGCAACAACAGATAAACAAAATATTCTGAAAATAACTAGAGAATTTTATAAAGACCTCTATACCAGCCAAAGACCACAAGACAATTTCCCGACACGAGTAAAGACTCTCATAAATCAGGGATCGGAAATACTTTTACCCATTACTGTGTCAGAAGTAAGAGCAGCTTTAAAGGAAATGAAGAACCATCGATCGCCTGGTGATGATGGACTCGTTATCGAGGCAATAAAAGCAGGTGGAGAAATTTTATTAAAATCAGTAAGCGAACTGTTTACTAAATGCTTACATGCGGGTACGATTCCAAAAGACTGGAACAATGCAGTAATAGTCTTGTTACACAAAAAAGGCGATATTACTAAATTAGAAAATTATAGACCCATCAGCCTCTTGACACATATGTACAAACTCTTTATGAAAATCTTAACAAAGAGGCTAACACCTAAACTTGATTTCTATCAGCCCAAAGAACAGGCAGGCTTCAGGGCAGGATATGGCACAAATGACCATTTGCATACCATAAAGATCTTAATAGAAAAGTGCATCGAGTACAACATACCACTGGTTCTTGCATTTGTCGATTACGAGAAGGCTTTTGATTCTGTAGAGTTTGAAACAATACTGGAAGCCCTAAATCAAAGCCGAATAGATTACAGGTACACGACACTAATCAAAAACATCTATCAGAACGCTACATCAAGTATACGACTGCACGAAGACACAGAAAAATTCAGCTTAGGTCGAGGAGTTAGACAAGGAGACAATATTTCACCAAAATTGTTCACGGCAGCTCTAGAGTCAATATTTAAGGGTACTCAATGGCAAGATATGGGCATCAATATAGATGGAGAAAGATTAAATCACCTAAGGTTTGCAGATGATGTTGTATTAATCGCAGATAACTTACAAGATACAGTTTCTATGATGCATTCGCTTAAAAGTCTGTCTGAAAGAGCAGGATTAAAGATAAACTTTGAGAAAACTAAAATTATAACAAATCTCGTAATGAGTGGAAATATAACTATTGACAATAATACCATACAACAAACAGACACTTACAAATATCTGGGACACGAAATCAAAATAAGCAGAGACAATCAAACACATGAAATACAGAGGCGAATAGGTCTAACATGGGCAGCATTTGGCAAATTAAGCCATATTCTAAAAAGTTCAATTCCCATGTGTCTCAAGCGAAAGGTTTATAACCAATGTGTTTTACCTGTACAAACTTATGGAGCAGAGACTTTAACACTCACGCAAAAATCTGCGAATAAACTTAGAGTTACACAACGAGCCATGGAACGTGCAATGCTGAACGTGAGCCTTCGAGACCACATAACAAACCAACAAATCAGGCGAAGATCAGGAGTTCAAGACGTCATCGAAAGAACCACGACGCTTAAGTGGAACTGGGCAGGGCACTTAGTCAGAACACAAGATGGACGGTGGACAAGACGTATTATGGAATGGAGGCCCAGAAATTATAAAAGAAGCCGAGGACGACCACCGACTAGATGGACCGATGACATTAAACGTGTAGCGGGAAACTGGATACAAGCGGCCCAGTGTAGAGAACACTGGAAAGAACTGAGGGAGGCCTATGTCCAGCAGTGGACGCGATTGGCTGATTGATGATGATGATGATCCCTATCCATCGCCTTCCTCCACCAAGCATGTATTCCCATATTTCTCATGTCTTCATCGATGTTATCAAGGAACCTTGTTCTGGGCCTTCCTCTTCTTCTCTGACCATTGGGTCTATCAAGGAGCGTGTTTCTAGCTGGGTCATTTTTTTCCATCCGCATGACATGCCCTATACACCTCAGACATCTTAATATGTTTTACGATATCTGGTTCCTGGTATATTCTATAAAGTTTATTACGGTTCTTCAGTGATCTTAGAAAAGCACCCATAAACATCAACTGAATTCTCGAACAATTTACTCTGTCTAGTTGACTGGCATTTGTTAATCATCGTTTAGAATACGCACTTTTAGTAATCATTTGAGCATGCTCATTGTATTTGTGCAAACTTTCTCTTTGCTTTTATCTTTGTTCTAACCCTCATTTTTCCCCATGTAATGTTGGTTTTGGTGTTTTGTAATGTCCTGATAGGCTACTTAACAACAGAGAGTTCAAATTCAGTTGATAGGATCTCCAAACATCAGCCTCGAGCCAAAAGTAAGAAAATTGAGAAGAATATTAGAAGTAGCAGTAGGTTAACAAGGTCGTTGTCTAGAAGTCATACAGATTCAACCAATACAGATTTCCAAACACCAGCAAACAAGAAAACTCCACCAAATGCCTATGGAGTTGTTACACCTAAGGTAAGTTTACAAGCTTTAAATAGATATTTATCTTTTACATTATATATTTCGTACTTAAAGGAACTATTTTTAATTAAAATGTGTGGGTAACCGAAAATAATGAAAATAATTCCGGTAATTCTTCGCTCTATTAGGATGAAATCATGTTGAAATCTGTACTTCTGATATCTTTATGTTTCGGACGTTGCTAGATAACTACTATACTATAACAATTTCCAATTGAAGATTATTCAATGGCAACATCTCACTTAAAGCGACCAACCGATATTCCCCTTATCAACTTTGCAGAATCGTACCAAAATAATATTTTAATTAATTATGATCTATTTAAACACATAAGTAATTACGTAAAAATTAAATCTAAGACCGATATAATTATTAATTATTATCATATGTGTTTTAACAGGTATCTTAAGTTTTCTAACAAAATAAAGTAAAATTTTATTGTTAGTATAGAGTGCCTAATACAGTACTTCAAAAAAGAGAAATGTTGCAAAATTATTATTATATTTCATTTATTTTCTTCTTCTTCAAGTGCCATGTCCGTTGCGAACGTTGGCTATTAACATGGCAATTCTGATCTTGTTTGCGTCGCTTCTGAACAGTTCAACCGATGTGAGCCCGAACCACTTCCGCAGATTTTGGAGCCACGAGTGTCTTCTCCTGCCTGCCCCTCGCTTACTGTCTATTTTCCCGTGCACAATCTATTGCAGTAGACGGTACTTATCGTGTCTCAATATGTGGCCTAAATATTCAAGCTTTCTTTGTTTAATTGTGCTCACGATTTCTTTCTCCTTTCCGATTCTTTAGATTACCTCTATGTTGGTGACATGTTCGGTCCAGGATATACGAAGAATTCGCCTTCTAGTTTTCTCGTCTCTGTCAGCGTCCAGGCCTCCACACCATATAGTAAGATCGGAAAAATGTAGCATTTAACTAGACGTAGTTTTAGGAGAAGAGACAAACCCTTGTTTATGAGGAGCTTTTTCATATTGTTAAATGCTCCTCTAGCTCATTCTATTCTTGCCTTAATTTCTATGGCCTGTTCGCATTTTGCATTACGTTGGTGCCAAGGTATACATAAGATTCTACATGGTCAATTAGTATGTTACTTATCCGTAATTGTCGAGCAGGTTGTTGCTTTTTGCTTATCAGCATCCACATTGTCTTCTTGAAGTTGAGGCTCAGGCCGTATTCCTCACTAACTGAATAAACTCTTTCCATTACCTGTTGTAATTCGTCTATGGTACTGACAAGGATCACCGTGTCGTCGGCATATCTTATATTGTTCGTTAACTCGCCGTTTATTTTTATGCCCTCATTTGCATTTTCCATACATTTGTTAAATATTTCCTCGGAATAAATATTGAATAGGAGTGGGGATAAGATACACCCCTGACGAACACATCTTTTGATCTGCACACTTCCAGTGAGTTCGTTGCCAATTTTTGCTCTTGCTGTTTGACCCCAGTATAGGTTTGCCACAATTCGAATGTCCTTGTCGTCAATACCTGTCTTTCGCAGAATATCTATCAATTGTTCATGATTGACATTGTCAAATGCTTTTCTAAAATCTACAAAGCACACATACACGTCCTTATCAACGTCTCTACACCGCTGTATAAGCACCTGGAGAGCGAAAACTGCTTCTCTAGTTCTAAGTGCTTTCCGAAAACCAAACTGCGATCTATCAATATTTGACTCACATTTATTAAAGGTATTTTATACCAACATTCAGAAGTATTGATGTTTTTCTTTAATTTTCTTTCGTTGCCTGGAGTAATTTCGATAAATCAGAATTATGTAGTTAATTTCTAAAATGCGATTATCTCGAAAACTGTTGAGTTTTAAAGATATTAACAAGTATACCTTTTTTTACCGGTAAAATACCGGTAACTTCAAGAGCAAAAAAGTTACGTGCAAATGTATTCCACATATGTGGTATATGTGGCGCCCTCTATAAGCTAAATCAAAGTATACATCAAATTAAAATTTCTGATGTTTAGTAAATTTTTATACATAAATGTTGACAAACATAAAAGTTATAGCGAGAAATAAAATTTTAAATTTTCACTTTAACACCCTGTATCTTTCTTAATATCAACATTTTATTAAAGCAACTTGACTTAAATCGTATTATTTTAAAGTGTGGAATCTACGGTTTCTTTTTGTACAATTACTTAAGGACCACCCTGTATATACCAACTTTCTTGACAAAAAATTTAAATAGAAATAATAGTCAATTGGACTTTTTTACTTTTTTAAGGGTTTTTTAAAATAAATTTGTAATTTATTTCTTACATTTCTGAAACCATTATTTGTATGATTCAGATAGCTTAGGCTCGAGCCTTTTTATTGTTATTGAAATAGTCTTTACAGTGTATTAAATGTACGTATTGTGTCGAATAAAAAAACTTAAATGCTCTTTCACACCATCATTAAATCGCAAATGTACAAGCTGGTTACAATATATCTACCGTTAAGTAATTACTCCAACAAACATAAACTGTCAAAAATAAAGCAAAACCTCAGGCAAAATATGTACAAAAACAACAACATACAGACAGTAGAACAATAACGAGAATAAAAAGATTTTGTAGAAATGAAATCAAAAGTCTGTGAAGAAACATAATTGGACGACTCGTATACAAATATAACATATTAACTGCATATGCTCCATTACAAACAATAGTATAAATAATTGATGATTCGACCGTTACTTGATGGAAATTCAATTTATGTAACAATAAAACACTGAAAACTGTTTTTCAGCAAAATATCAACAAAAATAGCCAAACACATAAAAAAGAAATGAATAACACCAGCTTTCAGAGCAAATAACAACTTAAGCAAATATATTAAAAATAACAAGAGCCAAAATAAAAAACACTTACACAGTGGTGTGTACAAACTTAAATGTGGCGACTGCCCAAAAACTTACATCGGTCAAACTGGTAGAAATTTTAATAAACGAATAGCAGAACATAAAAGGGCTTTCAACAACAGAAAAACAGATTCTACATACGCACTTCACCTTCTAGATCATAATCATTCTTTTAATGACGAATTTAAAATTCTTCACATTCAAAATAAGGGCCTTAAGCTATGTTTGTTAGAAGCTATTGAAATCAACAAATTAAAAAGCACAGATATAATTCGCGGGTGAATGTGTAAAAGGGTATAAGTCAATTTTTGGTGAAAATAAGTTTATGTCACAATTGGGTTCTTATTATGCCTAAGAACGTATGGGTACAATGATATAAGTCAATACACTGAACAAGCACATGTAATTCCTATGTGCCATATGTTTTAAGTCAAAAATTTTGTGGCATATCGTATTATGTCAGACTTACATCATTGGTCATACCTATTTATTTCACATCGGCATGTCCAATTGATTTAAGTCAGACATGACCCATATATCACATTAAATCGTACACATCTGTTTGAGAAAACGGAGTTAAGTCGGACATACCTCTCTATACACAAACGTGTCGTTATATGTATATGTGAAAAAGAGTGTATGTCTGACTTAAAGCTTTTTGCACTCTTTGTTTTATTGACTTAAAGCATTTGGCACCTCTAAAAGTTAGGTTATGTGATGTAAAACGTACACAAAAGTAAAATTGTTTCAGTCCAGTTTTTAGAACCCCAGTGTGCTTTAAAGTTATTTTATTGCAAAATGAGCGACAGAACAAAAAAAATAATGGAAATGGCGAGTAGTAGTAATGAAGGTAAGTTGTTTGTATACTATATTACTTAACAGACAAACAAAATTCGCTTTTGAGGTTATGTTACTCACAATGTTATTTTATAAATTAAATTTGTGATTAGTAAAGCCTTTCTCAACCTTCTGCTTAATATTTTTAATTCTTTTCTGTCGTGTAAAAACAAAAATCAAATGGAGGCTGTGCTAGAATGTGAATTACTAAAATTTTTTTGTGTAATTTTTAGAAATCCATGCTGCTAAAACGTCCTCTAAAATTATTATTCAAGAACATCTCGTCTGCCTACCATCGATGAAAAAAGACAGTTTTGGTTGGAAAGTATCTAATTGCCATAGTTACAGCGGTGATGCTGATGGGAAAGAAGGAAATGAAATAATTACTGTAGCATCAAATAATCCTTCTGAAGTTATAGGCAAGTTGATAAGCCCAGGTTTATTTTTGTAAAACTAAATAATATTTTTCTTCTTACAGAGTCACCCGCAGTCGAATCATCTTCAAATGCTCAACACTGTATTGACCTTAATTTTATTGAAAATTCCGATGATACAGTGTTAGATCCAGATTATCAGGACACTTCATCAAGTTCAGAATCAGAGGAAGAAGTTAGTTGTTTGAAAAGGAGAAAACAAAATAATAAAAATGTGGTTGTAAGGTCAACGGACATTGAAAACTTGGATATTTCTGCAGTGGGTGAAAACACAAAACGTCTGGTAAAGGGAGAAACAAGAGTTGTGCGACAAGATAGAAAACATAAACGAAACACAGGACAAGAGTACATAACTAGAAAGGGGAAAAAAGTAACAAAGCGTACTATGCAACCGTTGAAAAATAGCTGTCGAAGTAAATGCAGTGACAGAATAACCGAAGAGGACAGACAACATTTGTTCAATGATTACTGGAGTATCGGTGATTATAATAGAAGAGTCTTATTTTTGGCAGGTCTAATCGAAATTAAAAATAAAGTTGTAACTAGACCTCGAGTAACTTTAACGAATAAGAGGCATAACAGAGAGCATACAATTTTCTACCGCTTACAACTACGTGGAGCTAATATATCTGTGTGCAAAATCTGTTTCTTATCAACTTTTAACGAAACTGCAAGGTTTATTAGCTGCGTTGTTAAAAAGAAGCTAGCTGGTAAGTCAGGTGTAGTAAATTTAGACCGCAGAGGTACACACGAACCGACCAATAAAAGAACAGCAGATGAAATTGAAATGGTACGTAATCATATCAAGTCAGTTCCAAGTTACGAGAGTCATTACACAAGGAGAGACTCAAAACAGAAATATTTGCCACCACATGTAACTCTTTCCGCCCTTTATGAGGAGTATAAAGCAAAGTTTCCGATAAATCCTGTTTCACGTTTTATATATGAAAGGGAATTTCACTTACTTGATATAAAAATAAAACAGCCAAAAAAAGATACATGTCAGACTTGCGACACATTAGCTTTACAAATTCAACTCCACCCTGAAAATAACACATTAAAAGAAGAATTAAAAAAGCATCATGAGGAAGCAGATTTGGCATACTTGTCTAAATCTACAGATAGACAGATTTCACAATCTGATCCAACTAAAAAAACAATAACGTTTGACATGCAACAGTGTTTACCAACACCTGCGGTGCAAAGTTCTTTAGCGTTTTACAAGAGGCAGTTGTGGACGTACAACCTCACAGTTCATGACTGTGACCAGAGCCAAGCGCATTGCTACATTTGGCATGAAGCACTGGCCAAAAGAGGAGGTGATGACATTGCTTCATGCCTATATCAATATATTCTTGGGGATTTACCAAAATCTGTAACCCATTTAGTCATGTATTCTGACACATGCACTGGGCAAAACAAGAATAGTTTTGTAGCCGCAATGTGTATGAAAGCAGTTCAGGAATCAGAAACACTAGAAATAATAGACCACAAGTTTTTAGTCCCAGGACATACGCACATGGAGTGCGACACAGATCACAGCCTTATTGAGAAGAAAAAGAAAAAGTATAATCTTCCCCTAGAACATCCTCATGATTGGGCCCAGCTAATAAGGCAAGTTGGAAGGAAAAATCATTTTCGGGTAAAAGAAATGCATCAGGATGAGTTCCAAGCATTTTCGGATCTCTTTAAAGGACCACTTGTTAATAGAAAACTTCCCGACGACGATAACTGGCGGAAGATCCGTTGGTTAAGGTTCACCAAAAAATGTCAACCAGGAGTGTTTCTTTATAAAACAACGTTGTCAGCAATAAACAATTTTAATGAAGTAGATTTTAAAAGGAAATCTAAAACAAAAAATTTGTCATTTACGACACACAAGCGGTATAATGCAGCTAATCCTATTACTAAGGAGAAAAAAAGCAATCTAATGGATCTGTTACCGTACATTTGTGACACCTACCATGATTTTTATAAAAATTTGAGAACCACCAATGATGCAGTCGATGTTTACCCGGATGAGAGCAGTTCCGATGAAGCTGGCGATTAAGCTATCCCATTAGTTACCTTTTTTATTAATTTGAATTTAAATATTTAGTTTTTATTATTATTACTGTTCTGTTTTTTTAATTATTGTTTATTTGTCAAATAAAGCTATGTTGTTCAAGTGGTTTATCTTATTGTGTAAAAGGGTTTAAGTAAAATTTGATAACGTGCCAAATGATTTAAGTCAAAAAATATCAAATTTCAGAATAATGTTAATTATTTGAAAATCCAAATGTACATAGGATAAAACAATTAACAAAAGTCCACTTACTAATTCTGATATATTCTAAAGAAGATCGTTTGAATTTGGACAGCGCGGAGCCGAACTTAAAAGTTGAATATCTCAAAACCAATTTTTATGACTTGATACCTTATACCCATGCATCCGCGAATTCTGAATGACCAAAGGCAATCAGCCGAAACAGATGTAGTGCTAAGAGTTTAAAATAAATTTTGTGGAAGTTTGAAAACAAAGTTTTCAGTGTTTTATTTTTACAATAATATAAATACTAGCAAATCAAATCGTATAGAATGTGTAATGAAAAAATATATAGAACAAACCAATTGATAAGTGGGAGTATCTACATTGTAAAAATGTTGTGCATCCTATACTCCAAATGGATATCTCCAACAAATATACCTTAACGAGTTGTGCGTAGTTCGTAACCAAATGAACTTTATATGTATAAATAAAAGATACAAAAAAAAGATACTAGAACAAAAAATAATGTTTGTATGTGACATTCGTTTCAAGAATTGTATTAAAAAACCAAGTTCATCATTTTGCATCTTTATTAATTGTCCGTATTATGATTTAAGCGCTGTTCGCTTCACGCCAAACGACCTGTTGTATTATTGTTAGGTTATTTACTAAAAGTATATTTCTATTTTTTAGTGTAAACCAAACACACCGCACGTTTTACTACGTCGTCCAAAACATAACGAAGTCGCCTTATCTTTCCAAGGCAGTCCATTACTCACGGCCGCCGTAGCACCAGACGAATTTGCCAATATCAACATACCCCTTAATGACGGAAGTTTACTGAGCTTGCGACCGCAGAAAGGCCTAAGACTGTCACAAATACCCAAATTTGATGATGATACTATGAGGCAATTGCAGACGTTAAAAGACCACATTTCAATGGTGTTGGGCTCGTCTCAACACGGTTCATATTAGTTTTAGGTGACTGCCATTATTTTTAGAATAATATCTGCTCTATTTCAAACAATAAGTATAGTTGATTATCTATTTAATTTATGGTATTGAAATAAGAAGAGTTTGCTTAATGTTTGAAATCGATCATATCCATTGGAGACTACCAAAAGTATAATGCCAAATTTTAGAAATTTACGTGATAGTCATTTAAATTTTTTTTCTTTAATAAACAAGTTCTTCATAAGTACAAATAATATATTTGATAAACTTTTTTTATAGACATTGATGAATTGCAAGATTCGTATTATATCATTTGACGGAATCCATAAAAAACGTACTGCTGATTTGTTATTCTATACTTTACAAAAGAATGTTATTCTTTAGGTAAATTCTTAATTCAATACCTAGCACTATTAATATTAAGTGTGGAATGGAATTCAAAAATTATCTTATGATAATTTAGGAGTTCTCATATTTTGATTTCTTTTTGTTGTCACAGTCTACAGTCGACCCCAGTTAATATTTATTATGCCAATCCAGTCGATCTACTAAGTCCTAAATGAGCTTGCAAATGGAAATAAATCAGATAGTACTAGATGCTATTCACAGAAAATTGTTTCATTCAATTAACTGTATATTCATAAGTTTTCTACCTTATTTTGTTGAATTGTGTTATTGAGTTTTACTCTTTTTTGAAAGAGTTGTAGTTACTCCTCTCGCGAAACCTACTTGACATATTGAAGAATCGCACGATCATATACATTAAACTCTTTACAAATAGTGTTTTCGAATGTCTTGGAAGTGAATAATAGATCATTTCCTGAAAGCCTGACTGGTGTTTATGACGAAATAAGAGTAATCTGTAAATATAAAGTCCTGGTAGTATTAATATTCCCAATTGTTTAAAAGGACTTCTACAGATTTTCCTGTATTTGATATTCAGCATAGTCCTGTGCGCCCACTTTTGTATGAGAATGACCCTGGTTGCTACTAAAGTACCAAACTTTCACAAAAACTTTGAGAAACCTATGAATAATCAACAAGCAATCTTCGAGATTATTGATGACCAATTGAGTCAATTCAAAAATTGTTGAAACATCCAAGAAATTAACATTTTACATAATAAACAGTTGAGAAATTGGTAAACTCAGTACAAATATGTTTGGTTTAAGATATCAGAATTAAAAGAAATACAATATATATTACTAAAACATTTTACAAATTCGTGCTTTTCGCGGTATTACCTCACCCAGTGGGGTAATATCGATTAGAGTGAGGCAATATCGTGCATGTTATTTGAGCTGCAAAAGTAACAAACATTAAAAATAACTGAAGAAATTTTTAATATACTTACTGTAACACAACAATCTAACACGTTATCATTATATTTAGGGTTTACTACAGGTTTTTTAAATATCCCTTACTTTTTACTGAAGATGATTCAGAATCATCGTCAACACGTCTTTTCTTTTCCGTATTTTTATTATTCCTAGCAACAATAACCTTTCGTTTCAATTTTTTTACTTTTATATCACCATTCAGCTGAATATCCTTCACTAGTGCAGCAGTCCAAATGACTGATTGTAGTTTCTTTGTTTTTGTAATATTTTTAAATAGTTTCTTTGCGATATGAGCTATATGTGATACTTTAACGACACGTGATAGAGCAAGAACAGTAGCGGAGTGAGACAGCCCGTGCTTTTCAACGCATGCTTTTCCAGTAAATCGTTTGAAACCCTCACGTAAGTTACCGCTAGTAAGCAGTATTTAGGATGAATATAAAACTTCATTAGATATGATTAACAATAAATTTTAGTCTTTATTAATTTTTAAGGATTTAACATTGATGATTATTATGCTTTTTATTAATAGATACCGTCTCCAATATTAAAATGACGATTCTTTCCTTCGAATGACTTTAGTTGATATATTATCCACATTTGTCATATTTTTCCTCTAAAATCTTTTTTAGCTTCATAATTACGTTGAACGTCATTTCCAAAAGTATTATGAAATTTAGAGTTTATTTGGAAACTTTTGGTTAGTCTCTAAGCTTTAATTTAAAATGATTTTAATATTATACTTTTATTTTTATTACAATATTATACAGTATTTAGTTATAGCGGGAATTTTTCCCAAACCATTTCCTTGTAGCATCTCAACTTTTATCAAATATTTAGTTGGGTATAAATCAGAAATTCATGGGTTTTATGTTTACCGATACAGCAATGGCAATAATTAATAAACTCGAATTTGTGGTTTAGTCTTAACGATATATTTCATAAAATGTAGTGTGACTGTTCTAATTGTTCTCTTTTATGTGTTTATGTATAAATAAAGTGAATGCTTTACATTTTATTTAGTTTTAATTCATTGGTAATCGGTGAGTTGGCTTAAACAATACCTGAGGAATTGAGTATGGAAGACAGGTTTGTATTACAAAATTGCATATCGTCGTTGAAGTACCAAAATCGCCTAAGTGCCAAAAAGGCAATTTTTCAGGAGCCAATAAAAACTAATTAATTAGAAAAGTTATCAATAAAATAACACAATTTTGACCTAAATGATTAAGTTCTTGATTATCTAAAATGATATCATTATTTTAGCAAATTTGCATAATTGCAGTTTGTTTTGTTACTTAGGCGGTATTTTGTATTATAAATTTATAGAAAAGTAAGATAGGTGGTTTTGTCACCGAACAAAAAACGTTTTGTTGTTCGGTGGTTTTGTGTCCTACATAATAAATAAACAACTTACAAAATTAAGCAGGTATTTATTTGTTAAACAGAAAATAACAGTGAGAATGAAAAATATTTTTTAACTATCCTTTTGATTATGTGCTAATCGTAATACGAATGATGATGCGTCAAAACAAGGTTTAATTCTTGAAGGTTGTTCTATTTGGAATATGTCAACTTTAGCATCTTTTGGATTAAGGAAGATCCTCGCGATTCTGGGCATAGGTAAATTCCAATGTAAAAGTTAATATCAAATAACGCAAAAACTATGGCAGGTATTGAGATGATTCTTTTTTTATATGGAAGGTCTAAAAAAGTTCTAGTGCACTATTTGGTTGTAAATTAATAAATTGTTTAAACAATATTTTTTTTCAAATATTTTTGGTTAAAATAAACGTAAATTTTTTTTTTGAAATAGGGCACTACAGAATTTGACCCACTTTCCGAATCTGTTTTTATTTTTAACATAAAGTGTAACACAAAGCAGCTATTTGATAACTTTTAAAAAATTTCAAATTTCTGCTAAATGCAATTTTCTCTCCGTCAGCACAGGCTGTCCTTGTCGGTAGCTTCTGGATTCTCGCCAGGTAGGTAAAACCCTCGGAGGAGGATAAATAAAGTTGAATAACATTATTAGGGCTTATTTTTGACAAACCAGTGTGTTTATTGTATTTAAAATAGGAAATTTTATATAAATAAGCAGTAAGTACCTACAATTTTATTAAATTTTTATATGAATAGAAATATTTTCTGTTGATTAGTGACATTTTCCTTCTAAATATTTATACTGTTTTTATAATAATACTATTGTTTCAGTATTTGCTTATATAATAATAATTTATTACATAGAAACAGCGTACATTTTTTTGTATTTCAATCAGAATTATTATTTTCTTTTCTTCTTTACATGAGCTCAGTGTAATAACCAAATATTTTGCAGTATTTGAATATGAAATTTAATTAGCTATATTTATTGGTTAGCAATCTACGAATCGTAAAATCAAATACTGCTCAAAGAAACAATGTACAGTCTCGGAACCGGATTGATACTATGAAGACGACTACGGCAAGAAATAAGGACAAGCGAAAAACATCCAAAACCCAGATGAGAATTACTTGGAATATCAGATCACTCAACTCAAGGGACCAAGAAATAACCTAAGTGTTGAAAGAGAAAGAAATAGACATTTGTGCTCTACAGCAAACAAAAAATAAAGGAAAAGGTCAATCAAAATTAGGTGAATACATACTAATCTACAGTGGAGTAGCAAAAGAAAACAGGGCCAAAGAAGGTGTAGCCTTACTAATACACCAAAGGTATCAAAATTACATCAAAGAGTGTCAATACATATCAGAAAGAATAGAGAAGGAAGAATGGAGAAGGAAAACCTGAAAATTATCGGAGTATACGGCCCAGAAAATAATAAGCCTCAAACAACAAGGGAAGTGTTTTACGACCAATTACAACAAGTAGTAGATCAAGTCAAAGAAAAGATGATAATTCACAGTTAATTTGATTCTAATAATTAAGGAACCTCATTGATGCCATGTTAAGGAATGGGATTTGTATTTTTTGTTAAAAATTTTGCACAAACATTGTACCTTTACAGGACCCTTTACGAATTTTTAAAAATTTAGTTCAAATGGTGACTAGGAAGAACCTACAAATCCATACCGAACAAGCAATTTCAAACTAATAAAATTTTCTATATATCCGGATCTACTCAATGGATTTTAATCATTCTTTTTTTAATTTATATGTAATTTCTACGTATATTAGAAATTAGTAATTTGTTTATATATTAATTAATTAATAAATAGTCTAGTTTGTTTAAACAATTCGTGCAAAAAGAATTTTCTTCCAAAAATCTATTTTTTTTAATACTAGTATCAATAATTATAGAAACAATCGCGTTTTTTGCATTAAATTGTCAATAATTAAAAAACAGCTGCAAATTCAAGCAAGAATCAAGTAGGTTTTCTTCCTATAGGTCTACAATAACTAAAAAAGTTATCAGCGACCTGGATTATTGAGTCTTACGAACATGTTCTATTTTTTGCTTATTTCCCTGGAGTATATATTTGATTAACATCTGTGTAATTTCTTTGTCGCTTCCTCACTGGTTTTGCATATTGCTATGATAGCAATATCTTCGGTAAATGTTGCAATTGTATATTTTCTAGGACAATAATATAACACGTATACAAAAGGTAAAGACACTTCTTTGTGGCAGCCCTGCTGTAATATCTTTCAGTTCCGTGTTTCTTCCTGTTTAATTCTGA